TTACAGAACTTGGTTGGAGAGCCTGGCTGAAGAACCTGGCTACAGAATCTGGTGACAAAACCTGGCAGGAGAACGTAGCAAGAGAACATGGACACAGAACCTGGCTGGAGATCCTCGCCAGAACTTCGCTGGAGATCCTGACCAGAACTTGGCTAGAGATCCTGGCAAGGCTGCTGATCAACTGAACGCTGTCTCCGTGTCATTCCTTCTTTGCCGACTCCGTCCACACCTTAGGGGACCCCTGGACCTGCTGGGGTTGGACCCCAGCAATGTGCTAAGACCAGTGTCTCTCCCCTCCGGACTTGCCCCGGACCCAGACCCACACAGAGCACTCCCCACCGAAAAGCCCGCTGAATGTCCTTTAAAACATCCGACCCACTGTGCATGGGTGCTGGCGCCACTTGGTGCCGGAAGCTGGTCCATCCTTGCTGCTTGACACAGGCGCTGTAGGGAAGAAGCATCTGCACAGCATATGTTCCAAGGGACCTGGCGCATATGGCATACTGTTCTTAATATGTTTGCTCCCCTTCTTAGCGCTATGTGTTCTAACCAGGGCCACCTCCCCGGGAAAGGATGTTTCCCCAGGTGGGGATGTTTCCCTGGACTTAGGGATTAACGGGACTGGGGAAGGGAATAAACCAGTAAAACCGCCTAGTGTTACAGAAGTACCGTGTACTACTTATGAGGAACTTAGACTAAGACTGCTAGCAATAAATTTAGGACTTGCTAGGCCAGTGATGGCGAACCTTTTGAGCTCGGCGTGTCAGCATTTTGAAAAACCCTAACTTAACTCTGGTGCCGTGTCACATATAGAAATGTTTTGATATTTGCAACCATAGTAAAACAAAGACTTATATTTTTGATATTTATTTTATATATTTACATGCCATTTAACACATTGTTTGCGGGTAGTTTTTATCGCGTGCTAACAGGTGGTGCGGGCCATTTTTGCTAATTTTTTGCGCAAATGGCAACGTTCAGTAAAATTACGATAACTTTAGTTTACGTATTTATACGTTACCTGCATTCTACTGCTAGTCTATAAAAAACGTATCCTGCGTCTATAAAATACGTGTCCCGCACTCTACTACCAGTCAACGTAAAACGTATAAATACATTTCCCGCATACAAT